AGGCCTCTGCCACTCCCAGCTGTTCTGTGGTTCCTTGATATCATTCAGAGGAAATGGAATAAAAAGTATTTACCCACTTGCAATCAATAAAAAACCCACCATGACATCTGCAGCAGAGATAAGGATTTTGAAGTTTGTGCTCTGGCCAAGCTTTGGTCAAGCTATTGCACTCAAACTCTCTAAAATTCTCACTGCTGCTTTTTCCACCAAAAGCTTTCTTCACCTTATCTCCAAAACTCCTTCAAACAGAAGTGGAATACAGGAAACTAATTGCTCCATAGGAAAAGTAGCTGAACTGAAGTAGTAGGTAAAGTATTGTTACCATTTATTTTCCTCCACAGAAATGTATTTAGGGCCTCAGGCAAAGTTATCCGTGGACCAAGGTGGATGATTATGAGCAATTATATAATGGCCACAGAGAGACTGGCACTGTTGTTCTGCTCGTGGTGATCTATTGTGAATTCAACCTTTAAAGTTTGTCTGCAAAGCTCGTTGTGGCATGTGAGAAAGAAAGCTTAGACTGGGCCTTATGGAGAGGTAGCAGTTGATAAACACCGAGCTACATTACTAATGCATACATCCATGTTTAAACATCACTGTATTCAGAATTTTTTAGGTTAAATATTAGATTGCACACAAATTGAGAAATATGAGAAACATTGATAAAATTATCATATTATTTGAGAAAGTTCAAATGGAAAAAGAGCAAAAGCAAACGAAGCAGCACAAAACCAGTGCCATAAAAATACTTCTTCCTCAGTCACCCATTTATTGATTAATTTGTGCTCTTTAAAAAAAAAATTATTTCTTGGTGGTCTGAATGAAGAAGAAAAAAATAGGGATGGAATAGAACTCTGCACTGCTACAGTGTTTTTGAATGAATTTTTAAAACTCTAATTAATGGATAAGTAATGAAAATAATGAGCTAGAGGGAATTTTCAATATAAATTTAGTGAGAGGAATATTTTAGGTGTAAGGGGAAGAATTAAAACAGGTGAACAAAGACTTATAATGCTTTTTATTACTTATGACTCCTCAAACATAACTGTTTAATCATCAGCTGTAGCGGCTACTACAGGGCAATATAGACAAGAAAGGTAGGTGACTTTAAGAAAGTCATGAAACAGAGATTATAACTCATGGATTAATGGCTCACAAAAATTTGTGCAGTAGTAACTCATTAGAAAATATCTGCAATTTACAGAAGTCTAAACACACTAACTGAAAGAATTTATTAAAAAAAAAGAGTTTGTCTAGTAGTTAATCATTGACTTTATTTGTCATTGTTCATGATCTACACTGATGTAGTTGACAGAAGATTTAGCCTGTTCTATTGCATATTGTAAAGTTTACTGTCTACAGAAAACAGTATTATTAAATACCACTTTTGTTGCCTTTTTTTAGCTTGCTACATAGGTCTAAAATAACGTTTAATTAGAATCAGGCTTCTGACTGGCTTTCTGATCAAATAGTCTTGGTCTGGGTCTTGTTTAGAATCTGATGCTAAAATAGCAAATGAGGGTTTGATTACAGATTAGGAGGTATCTGACTGGAAAATTACAGACTTCACAATAATGTCTGTTGATCACATACTCTTGACCAAGGGAACATTTCTTGCTCTTTAGGATCTAGACAAAAGTTCCAACCAAATGTTTTATTACAAATCAAAACATGAAGTCATTTTGTTCAGACTTTGATTTCAATATAATCCACTTTTCTACAAACCCTAAATTTCGTATGAACTAAAATATAGAAAAAATCTTTACAAAATTCTTATGGACAAAAATACTCAGTATTAGAATGAATAACCAAAAGTACACATTTTCACAGGCTGCCATAAATGGCACAATCATCTATTAGCCTATGAGACAACCAAGTCCAGAGACAAGTGGTTGGTAAAGGCAGTTAATAATTTTAATTATTGTGGGATTAATAATGGAAATAGGAAGCTTAAATGTGTTTCCTTACCTACACAACTCCCATTACTGTTTTGTTCAGGTGTGTTCTAATTCCTCAACAGAAGCATAAGAATGACTTTTTTTGCCTCCTGTTCACTTTTACGTGAAAATACTGATAAACTTATGTTTGTTTGAATGTATTACCAACTCACTGAGATAATAACATATGGAAAAGATTTGAATTTTGCATGTAGTTCCTTTCAAATGCTTATAGTGATCATTGAATGTCCTGTATTAGTAAGCTTCACAGACTATATCTTGTTTATTAGAAGTTTTAATCTTCTGCATAGTAGATCTCCAATACCACATATTTTATTTCATTAAAGTGTGTTTTTCACAGCAAATCTTGATCTTTACATCTGGCTAACAGAATGAATTGAAAATACTTTGGAATCTTCATTAAATAAGTATATTTCTGTAGGAATAATGTAATAAAATTTAAAACATTTATGAGAACGTAACACTCAATGCTTTTTATCATAAAATATTTATGAATATTCTGCTTTTATTTGCTGTGTCTTATAGATAGTGCAAAAGAGCTGTTCTAGTGTACAGATGCCTTCCAAGTGAAATCAAATGGTCTCACTGCTCAGAGTAATGATTTCTCACTAGGGAGAGCAAACTTAGCATTGATAGACCGGAAATACGAAGACCTCGAGTTGGATAATTTGTTCAAAAGTAAAAATAGACCAAGAGATGGAGTTCATGAAGACTTTCCACAGCTATGTTGCCAAGTGAGTGGCTTTAACCTTCTGAATTAATACGAAATGTCTGAGGCTTTGACTGCTGTAAATTCCAAGGGCTACAATCAAAGTCCGACTGGACCAAGAGCTGTACCCAGTCATGTGTCCCATGGGAACAAACTCGGCCTTTTGCTCAGTTACAAATGGAAATGTCACTTGAGGTATTTCTCTCAACAAGCTTTTGGCTGTATGGAGGAACACAGCTTGGAAGAGCAGACACACTAGTTAAGTGGAATTTCTTTTTCTTTACAGAGAGGAAGGTCTCTTTTGTATTGAGGCTTTTCAAACAGATGTGGCTAAATCTAATGAATTCCTCTTCTGGGCTAGCAGACTTAGCAAAAATAAAACACAACAGGCAGTTGGTACAAGCACTCTAAAAGAGGAATAACCTGTTCAGAAATGAAAAAAACATATTCTGCTGTTTTATTCTTGCCCTTCTTTATTATTTAATCAGAATTTGGGTTTTTTTGTTTTGTTTTTTTTTCAAACAAACATTCTATGCAAACTCATCGCATCACATTTACTAATTGTTTCTTGCTGGAATTTTTATCAGCAGTCTATGAAGAAATCCCATTTTAAAAGTATTAGATGTACTCATCATGTCAATTTATTCCTTTTTAATTTTTTTTATATAGTTGTTTTGCACAGTTCCTTTCCAATAGTTCCTTCACAGAGTGTCCCAATCGTGGAAACACACATACTACCGCCATTGAGTCAAATCCCCTTTCCAAAAATCATGCTACACCTTCTCATCTCCTCTTCAAACAGACTCTGTTAGTATTGTTTAAGTCATACTGTATGTAAAAGTATAGGATGAATTTTTTTGAAACGGATTCCTCTCACCCTCGCACCTCTATAAACGGTAGATGCAGGGGAACTGCTCTGAATGGCACAAGATAATTTTTAGTCATCTATTCAGCAAGTAAGTTGAACACAGTCCAATTCTTTCAAAGATTTGAAATAGTTCAATCAGCTGTTTATCTCCCACGTTTCATCATTTCCTGTTCCAGGCTTCATCAAAATAACCAAGTATCAAGAACTGCAAATACCAAAAATGTAGCTCCAGATCTTACTTTATGAGATTTTAACTTCAAAGTTAGGCTATATTTGGACAGACATCAAGTAATTATGATAATGTTTCACTGGTCTTGGATTATAATGTGATTTACATGAGATGATCAGAGAAACCATAGTGAGTTTTGTGGAGATAAAAAGAAGGAGTCATGCAGTGTAAACAGTTAACCGTGTAGTTAAAGCATAGAGGTATCAGTCTTAGAATATTTGATATTATCAGCATCTTTATAATATTGTTCATTCATGTCGTGTCAACATGTACTACACAACTCACACCTGTTAGTAAAATGTTGTATATAATGCTGTTTCACTCCTCCTCCTCCAAGAACAAATATGGCATGAAAACTTACTCATTTTTCTTTTTCAGAGCAAAATAAATAGCATGAGATGAAAAGAAAACTCACCTAAATTAAATGGCTTTTGCAGCTAAGGAGGACAGATACATTTTACTGCCTTCATCAGTATCGCACAAATGAATAAAAAGGCCATGCTTTTGTCTTTTTGACTAACGTTATACAAGTCAGTTTAAGTGGTTTATTCACATAGCTTGCCAGAAAGAAGATAAGATCGCTTTATGTACTTAAAGACCATGTGCAGGTTGGCAAAATTATTCTAGTGTACAGACACACAATCTGTAAAGTGCGATTACAGCCAGCATTTAACCTGCAGGGCTTAAACTGTGTTTAATGTACAGAGCTGGATGGAACTTGTTTAATCAAACATATTCTGTTAAACATCTGTGCCACTGAGCACTTGTGTAATTAAATCCTATAATGGAATTATATTGTTCTTCTCTGATTCATTTTAAAGCTTGTCTTAGACTTCCATTGTGATCAAACCTGCCTTATCATGATTTCAAATGAATAAGCACATTTGATATTCTATATAGTCCTGACTACTTCAGCCTTTATGCTTATAATACCCTCATACACTAAATCTGTGATATCTCCGCAGTGTAACTAAAGAATTTCTGGAACAAGTAACAGAAAATAAAGAACCCAAAATAATGGTAACTTCTTTTCATCTGTCTGCATCTCTGAGTAATTTTAAGATTATCCATTTCAATATTGTTGAAACAATAAAGTCATTACTGTCAGATGAATCATACCCATACACATGCTAACATATGTACGTTCTAGGTATTTGCTGTATTTTCATATCATACCACAGAATCAAACATGCAAACACAATATTTAGTTTACCAAACAGGCTGCTGACCTCTTACTCTCCCTTAGCAGTTTGTCTCCTTTCTTCCAAGTGATAGTTGGCTTTGGAGAGGCTTGTGGCTTGCACTCAATGACAACTTCTTGGCCTTTGGTAATAATTATTGTTTTCCTCATTTGATTTAGTGGGAAAGTGGGAGCTGAAGCTGTTAAAAAGAAGTACGTAAACTCTACAGAGAACAACCACAGCCTTCTGCTTCATTACACATTAATAGAGGGTCAGAATAATCAGTTTGGTTTGGGGGATAGAATCTCAATTTTGTTTCCTGGAAATTATTATAATGCAAATTAGATGGAATTTTACAACTTATTTGAAATGAGCTGCAAATTAGATGGAATTTTACAGCATATTTGAAATCAGCAGCCAGTCTATAACTTAATTCTATAATGAGTTAGTGAGATCTTCTTCACACCAGCATAATAAATTAAGAATCCTTGTGAAATCCAACAGCTTTAGCAATTAAATATTACAGTTGATTTAGCTACATTTTTTCCAAAATTTATGGATTTCATAGACAACTTGTTAGAAGTAAGTAGTTCAAAATGAAAAGGAGTTTAAATTCCACAACAATCTAAAATGTTATCTCCAATCTCTTATAAAATATTACTGTTAGAGATATTTTATGGCTTTCTCTTTTTATATTTGCCTGAATCTAGGAATTGAAAAGTGAGAACTTCTGAATAGAAAATATTTAACTATGTCTTGTTTTCAGTATTTCATTTTCAAGAAGTCCCACTGATTAAAATACAGCTAAGGAAAAAAATATATCATAAAATGAGCTTAATTACTCTAATTTCACACTAAGAAACCCCTGAAACTATCTTATCTACACATATAGGAATATATTACACTCTGTTGACTCAAATATGTAGGAATTCTCTATTATTTGGGGTAATTCTGATAAAAAAGCTATTTATATGGACAATTTATTCTATTCCTTTCTCTTTAATAATTCAGAAAATTAAAACCAACTGTTTCTTTGATGCAAAATTATTGGTAAAATTTAACAGGGGTATTATTTCACAAGTGACAAAATGAAAGACTGATTTTACTGCAGCAATATGTAATGGCCATTTCTGATATTAGACATCAAAGAAAGAGTACAACTACCTAATATGATAGGTATACTTATTTTATAATAGATATAAAAAATAGAACAAGACAGCCTTGTAATCCATAGGGATCTCTTTGCTGACCAAATAACAGATGACAAAGGAAGGTGATGAAAAGAGAATAACTGCTGGTTGTGGGTTTTTATTTACGGCTAGACAGATATACTTTGGAGTGTCAATACTGAAATTCTAATGTTGGACAGCTAAGAAATTAGTGGAAATGTAGTAAATAGGTTATTCTTCAGATATATCAAATCTTAACACAAATATGTATTATTTCAGTAACTTCACCTTTATGATTTTTTTTTGACTGGGAGTTTGCAAGAATGATTCCCAGGTGTAGGTTTTAAAATTTGCAAGGTTTGAGCAGTGTGGAGACCTCTAATCTCTGATATGGCCTTTGAATTACTTTGACAGACACCTGTCTGACAGCTATATCACACTCTAATAAAAACCATGAGACTCTTACAAGTCTGTCTACTTAACACCCTGGAAGTTCTTTTATCCCTATTATCCCACTGTGTGTTACCACAGTTTGCTTTAATTTGCTTTAAGGAAAATTAATGTTGGAATTACATGATTGACATGACTCAAGTTTTTTCTTCATTGACTCCTCACTTCAACTTTTGAATAATTATTTTTTTCTTACATTTCTGGGTAACATCATGTAGCATATTTTCCTTACTGTGAGTGATATCAGTGCAAGTATGTAATTTCCAGTATTCAAGCAGTTCTGAAAACTTCATAGGAAACTTTTGTACCTTTAAAAGTAAAATCAAGCTTAATTACCTTTGAACGGCCTTTGTAGAAATTATAATTTAATTTTAACACACTTATTTTTGAGAGAGTAAAAATAGTTTCTCATTTATTTGAACTGAAATAACCTTATTATGAGAAATAGTCATAAAATGTAACTGAGTCAGTAATTCATTAAAGAAAATTTTCATTTAACAGAAGGACCTGTGCTTTCTCAGGCAACAAAGAATGAACTCACACATAAATAATACGAATAAAAAGGAACCCACTTTTATCTGCTCTGTTAAATTTGGACTGGCAGAAGCTGTTTCTTATGATAACAAAACCAAGAACAAATGTAATTATCAAAGGGGAAAAAAGAACACTGTTCTTTTTCAATAATGCTCACCTAAAATCTTCAGCTCAGCACTGGCATAAATGGTGCTGTACTTATTTTCTGCTAAGCACTGATACATTCCAGCATCTGAGAGATTCACACCGTGGATCATCAGAACTCCATTAACCATCTCAATTCTGCTCTGTAATGGAAGAAAAATAAAAATAAAATAAGCAAATAGGCACTGGAAATTTGCTATGTTATTATCTTAAGGTAAAAGCAAAAAAGACATTATTAAGCCAAAATAAAACTGAACACTAAATTTCCTTGGGCTTCTTCTTTCTCATTATATAAGGAATGACAAGAATAAAACAGATGGGGGAGGGCAAAAAACCCTCCAAAATATTTAAAGGTAAATATTTTTCAGTCCAAATTCGCCATATGCAAGGCTTATTTTTATGTATTTACTCAGAAGAGTAAAGTCAGTTGTGAGTATAACACATCTGATGGTCTTCACATCTCTAGCAAATGTTTGATTTCAGTCACGGTGTTATTTTCATAAAAGTAGATATAAATGATTGCTTCCATGACTAAGAGTGAAAGCATTTAATTGCCTTCATCATCAGTGCAAAATTCTTATTTGAAAGGTCCACTAGTAGAAAATGATTCTACCACTTCTGGAAGAGAAAAAGTATTAATAGCTGTTTATGGAAATGTGTACTTCATGGAGCTGTAAAATTTATAATTTGAACTGCTAGAAAATATCTCTAGGTTTCATTATTATAGTTGATCTATGCTCAATTAAAAATTGATAAAGAATAAAGTGTTTGGGAGTAAAGATGAAACTGCGAAAAAGGTTCTCTCTGTCACAAGCCCCCAGTTTACACTGAAATTTAATTTGAAAATTCAGAACCTGGTGCAACTAATGGTTTGGAAAATAAGAAACCCCAAAAGTACAGATATTTAAATTGCTTCAATTTCAGGACTAATAACTTCATCTAGACAGAAATGGATAAAAGCATATAACCATATTTTCAATGCCCCACAGCTTCGAAAGTAAACTGTATTTATGATTCCTTTCTCATTGTTTGCATAATTGGTTGATGTTCACAGATAGAAGAAAGACATTACATCTCTTACATTCATAAATACATTCTTGTGAATTCATTCACAAATGGAGACATTTTCTCCCAGAATTGAAGAGCTTTACTTTAATCTGGAAAAAGTGCATGAAATGAATTTGCAAAACTTTTCTTTACTTTGAATAATTTGAGACTATAAAAAGGGAAAGATGCTAGGCAAGAATGTGTGTGATGTGGTCTATCATGTTGACGTGGCTGGACTCACTCCAGCACCTCAGTGTCTTTCTTGTACTGTGGCACCCAAAACTGAATACAGCACTCAAGCTCTGGCCTCACCAGTGCCAAGTACAGGGGCAAGATCACTTGCCTACTCCTGCTGGCCATGCTGGGCACACCGCCCTCTTGGTCACCTGGGCACACTGCTGGCTCATGTTCAGCTGGCAGCTGAGGAACACCCCCAAGTCCTTTTCTGCCAGACAGCTTTCCAGACACTCTTCCCCAAGCCTGTAGCACTGCCTGGTGCTGTTGTGACCAAAGTGCAGGAGCCGGCACTTGGCCTTGTTAAACCTCGTACAATTGACCTTGGCCCATTGATGTATTGGGTTGATGGCTGGACTTTATGATATTAAAGGACTTTTCCAATCTTGATGATTCTGTGATTCTATGATCCAACCTGTCCAGATCTGCAAAGCCTTCCTACACTCGAGCAGGTCAACACTGTGACTCATTGACGTCATCTGCAAAATTACTGAGGGATCACTCAATTCCCTTACCCAGATCTTTGATAAAGGTGTTAAACAGGACTGGCCTCATAATTGAGCCCTGAGGAATACCACTTGTGATTGGCTGCCAACTGGTTTTAACTCTGTCCACCCTCACTCTCTGCGTTCAGCCATCCAGCTAGTTTTTAACTCGGTTTAAGCTACGAGCTGCCATGCTCTCTAGCAGAACGCTGCGAGAAATGTTGCCAAAGACATTACTAAAATCCAGGTAGACAATGTCCACAGCCTTTTCCTCATCCGTTAGGCAGGTCACCTGGTCATAGAAGGAGATCAAGTTGGTCTGGCAGGACCTGCCTTTCATGAACCCACATCAGTTGGGCCTCATCCCCTGGTTGTCCTGCACATGCCATGTGAGTGAACTCAAAATGAACAATTCTCTAATTTTCCCACTACTGAGGTCAGGCTGACAGGCCTGTAGTTCCCCAGATCCTCCTTCTGGCCCTCCTTGTAGATGGGCACCACACTGGCAAGCCTCCAGTTGTCCTGGACCTCCTCTGTTAACCAGGACTGCTGATAATTTATGGAGAGTAGTTCGGCAAGATCCTCCACCAACTCCCTCACTCTTGGGTGGATCCCTCTGGCCCCATAGACTTACGAATGTTCAGGTGGCATAGTAGTTCATTAATTGCTTCCTCTCAGGTTATGGGGGGTTTATTCTGCTCTTTGTCCTCATCTTCCAATTCTGGATGCTGAATACCTGGTCTGATAACTATCAAAGACTTCAGTAGAGATGGTATTACGTACCTCTGCATTTTCCTCATCCTCAATGGAAATGTTCCCCCTCTGCATCCAATAAAGGATGGAGTTTCTCCTTGGCTCTCGTTTTGTTGTTAATGTATTTGTAAAAATACTTTTTATCTCTTATGATAGTGGCCAGACTGAGTTCTACCTGGGTTTTTGTCTTTCTGATATTCTCTTTCCATGACCTATCTAGATCCCTGTACTCTTCCTGAGTTACCTGCCCTTTTGTCAAAGGTGGTAAACTCTCCTTTTTTTTTTCCCAGTAAAAACTCCCTGTTCAAGCCAGGCAGGTCGTTACCCCAGTCAGTTTGTCTAATGACACATGAAGACTTCCTGCTCCTGCACCTCTGACTCTGAAACTTCCTTCCTGAAGAGTATCCAGCCTTTCTGGACCCCTTTGCCCTTCAGGCTGTCTCCCAAAAGAGTTTTTCAACCAGTGTGCTGATGAGGCCAAAGTCTGCCCCCTGGAAATTCATGGTAATGGTTTTACTGATTTCCTTTCTTCCTTCACCCAGAATTGAAAATTCTATCATTTCATGGTTTCATGGCCACTGACCACCACATCACCTACCAGTCTTTCTCTGCTTGTTAACAGCAAGTCTAGTGAGGCATCTCCCCTGGTAGCCTCACTTACCCCCTGTGTCAGGAAGTTATCTTCTACACATTCCAGGAACCTCTTAGACCATTGTCTCTCTGCTGTGTTTTATTTCCAGCAGACATCTGGTTAGTTGAATTTACCCATGAGAACAAGGACTGTTGATTTTGAGACTTCTACCAGCCACTTGTAGAATGTTTCATCTGTCTCTTCATACTGGTTGAGTGGTGTATAATAGACTCCCAACAGGATGTCTGTCTTGCTGGCCTTCCCCCATAAACACTCAACCTTACCACCACAGTCATTGAGTTCTACACAAAAAAATATTCCCTAACATACAGAGCCACCCCACTGCCTCTCCTTCCCTGCCTATTCCTTCTGAAGAGCTTAGTCATACATTTCAGAATTCCAGTCAGGGCAGTCATCTCACCATGTTTCTGTGATGGTGACTATGTCACAGCCACCCTGCTGCACAATGGCTTCCAGATTCCCCTATTTGTTGTCCATGCTGTGTGCATTGGTGTAGATGCACTTGAGCTGGTCTATTGATATCACCCCCAGCATTGACATGTTTTCTCTAGGCTCATCTCTAGCGAGCCTGGTTTTATCCCCTTCTCCTTCAAACCTAGTTTAAAGCCCTCTCAGCAAGCCTTGTGAACTCATGATTGAGAACCATTTTTACTCTCTGAGACAGCCAGAGACAGACTCACTGGTTTGAGACAGACACCCTGCAGCTGGAGACCTGGACAACTGCATGTTTATGTGGGAGTGCTGTCTGGGTCATCACATTCTTTCTAACAATGGCTTTGGGCCAAGTGGTAAACACAGCTAGGTCCTCTTCTGAGAGGGTGATAACCACGAGTTGAGTTTGCCTCTTGAACTAGGTGGGTGACCAGTGCTTTCAGTGCTCTGCTGGAGTCTCCTTCTGTGCAAACCACCACACTATGCCCAGGTGACGTGACATCCCCCTTTGCCTGCCCAAGCTCTGTACGTAGGGATCTGCAGACTCCTGCCCTCCTTGAAGCTGCTTTTATGGTGAAGAGGTGGTGCTGTTGCTGTGACAAGGCCCATGCCTCTTCTGCCTCCCTCACAAGAGCTGCCAGATCTTTTGAGGTTGCTCCATTGCCCGTGGGTCTCCCTGTTTTGGGAAATCCCCCTGTACCCCGAGATGAACCTCCCCACCGCAGGTTGGACTGGGTCTAAAGATGCTGCTCTCAGAGACACTTTAAATTCTAAGAGTCTTACACGGAACATTTTAATGTTCTTGATGGTGAGTTCTGTTACTGGAAGAAAATTAATGGAGTTCAAAACGGATGAAAACGAACTTGTTCCATCTGTTACATTAGGCTGCTAGTGTTTTGAAGAGTATGATTACATACAAAAAGTATGCTAAATAATATGACTTTTGGAGAAATATGAAGCAAATACAGCATTTCTCCAAGTTGTTCATTTATACAGGAAAATATAGACACAAGCAGCATAATACTACTCTCTAAAAGAATAAAGAATACCTGAAGATTGCTGAGATGCAATAGCACAATGGCAAATGCTCTTGCAGACACAGTTACATCTTCCAAATACTTCTGAACTACAGAGAATTGCTGATAAAAGCAATCTTCCATTGCTTGAGATGGTTCAGAGGGGATAGGCATAGAAAACCTGTTCACTAACACTTGAGAAACTAACACAGAAAGCAGTCATTTCTGAAGTAGTTTTCAGTATTTTCTTTAACTGACTTTATATGAATGAAAGGAGAAACATGAAACATACTAGCGACTCCTTGTCTAAGTACCTGTGGCCAGAGAGGAACTCCATTTTTCAACCAACGATACGTGGGCCTTGGCTTTCCGGTGGCTTTACACTCCCATCGGAGCTGATCTCCACTGTCTAGTTGAGTATCATTAAGTTTCTCCACCCAATACGGGTAGGCTGCAAGAAAAATATACCATGCTATATACAAAACACATAAATTGGTAAGTCTCTAGCTGATATATAAAGACCTAATCAACTAAAGAGTTTAAATTATGCACTATACAAGGCTTAGCTTACTCTCAGAAAGAACATTTAAGCAAGAAAACAACCCCCCAAAAGAAAGTAATAAAATCAACAAAACTCCATGACTTTAAAGGAAATGCTTAAATGGCGTTAGACAGTGAGCAATATCATGACCAGGAGGAGAAATCGGCCTAAGTCCAATGGATTAAATTACAGTATTATATATTAATGCATTCATTATTGCTGAATTTAAGAGCATTTCCTTGGCAGTCACGATGGAATATTTAGTAACTTTTCAAGACCTAAGCTATTTGACTAGGAAATCATAATTTACCCAGCTAGGAATGACTAGGAATTCAGTAAGGTATATGAACATTTTTTTTGTGTTCAGGTCTCTTGAATTTAATTCATATTTTAAGGTAAAAAATGCTTTTAACATTTTTAAGCACAGAACTTATGACACTTCCAGCATTCATTAGGAACATAAATTACACAGTAAGTCAATGTTAAAACATTCTTTTTTTTAAAGGTAGACATTTGTTAGTTGTGCATGTGATCATTAGAACTTAAATTTCATGTAATAATCTCTTAAAAAGCAGAGAATTTTTTTTTACAGATAAACAGATTTTTAATGCAGCAGTTGATCAGATAACAATGTGTAGGATATTATAATTTGGAAGGCTTTGTATGACTCAGTGAGGAACTGAGCATTCACACACAGAAATAAAAATGTGAGCTTACAAGCCATCTTTTGGATTTTCATATTGTAGCCATATAAATTTGTATAGCAAAAAGGATGACAGGTGAAATTAATTAATTTAATAATATTAAGTTTGCTGAGGTTTTATTGTTTCTTTGTTGTTGGCTTTTTTTTTAAATAGTAGAAAATAAGTAGCTAAAAGTCCTTCATTGTCAAGGGAATGTAAAATTCTTTTGCTTGATATAAGTCCAGATCTGTCACAACAAAGTCTCTGCTTCAAGTGTTGGATAATTGATAATGTACTTAAACATGGGGAACCGAGCTTAAAAATAAATCTTTGAATTTAGCTGGCATTTGACAGGTCACCAATCAAATACATGAGGATGTATGGAAAGGCTTGACAGGTGACTAACTGCTTCTAGCTTACATCTTGTGCATGGACGATAAAGAAAGTGAATGAGGTGTCTATCACTCCTAAGCAGAGACTAGTCTGCTTCAAAACCTGTGATCAGAGAGTTGTCAGAAGCTGGAAACATATCAGAAAAAGAATCATTTGTTTCCCTTTTTAGTAGAGGAAAACAGATAAGATTGACCAATTTTACTCCCAAACCCAAGAGTAAAAACATCTGCTCCATTTTTCTTCTTGTTACACTCAGAGCAATGCATGACGTGCTCCGTATGTGCTCTGTTGTGCATAATCATTTGATTCTTAAGTTATATCAAAGGATCCCATCAAATCCTCAGAAGCTGCTTGCTGGAGTTCCTGCTTGTTCATTGTCTACTAATTGTCCTAAAAATATAATTCAATTGCAATGTATAGATGATGCAGTTGTTTCCTTTTGAGCGTTTCGGCAAGTACAAAGGAGCTACGCTGAGAAGCAATTGTTTCCTTGAAAATGAGTAGGTTAATATGATTTTGGGAGATGTGACAGTTAAATGTGTAACTAAAAATTCATAAAAGTTAGCCAGTGGTACCACCGCAAGAAACACTAAACTGTTCCTATTTATATTTAATTCTTTTTACTATTTTTTTCTGAAAATTCTATTATATGACCCAAAGCAGATCTGGTCTCATTTTTCTATGTTGAACTTGACTTCATCATGAGCTAAGGTGTTCAGAATTCAAGTGTGCACCTTTTTACTCGGAAATACGACTGTGTTCCCAAAAGGCGTTCTCCTCAGCACAAAATTGCTGTTTCCTATTTTCTGTTTATGGCTGTCTTCAGAATATGGTCACAGCACAGGTCTTCCTCTGTAATCATAGACTTGCAAATCACAGTAGTATGATCATAGAATCATAAAATCACAGAATGTCAGGGGTTGGAAGGGACCTCAAAAGATCATCTAGTCCAACCCCCCTGCCAGAGCAGGATCCCCTAGGGCAGCCACACAGGAACACATCCAGGCGGGTTTTGAAAGTCTCCAGAGAAGGAGACTCCACAACCTCTCTGGGCAGCCTGTTCCAGTGCTCTGTCACCCTCACAGTAAAGAAGTTTCTCCTCATGTTGAGGTGGAACTTTCTATGTTCTAACTTATACCCATTATTCCTTGTCCTATTACTGGGCACCACTGAAAAGAGACTGACCCCTTCTTCTTGACTCTCACCCCTCAGATAGTTATATACTTAATAAAGGCCCCTCCCAGCCTTCTTTATGCAAGACTAAACAGCCACAGTTCTCTCAGACTATCTTCATATTTTCAAAATTTTCTTTTTTTCAAATATTGTCATAACTTCTTGGCTTTCTTTCCTCTCTCTGTGTACTCCTTAGTTTTCACAGAGAGTTCCCTCTCTGCTCATTAGCAAGGGTCAGTCTCTGTAATATTGTAACACTTGTTCTTAAATTCTGTCAATAATCCAAAAAAGGAAATATTTAACTGGCTGTACAACATCTGACCCAACATATTATTTTCTTTTTTTTTTTTTATAAAAATGTATTAACATAATCTTGATGTGCATGCGGCAAAAAAAAATTTCATTCCAGAATTGTATTCGATTTTAATTAGAAAAAACATAAATTCTAAGAAGCATTTAAATGGATTTCAAAAATAACATTTCTTTTTTCATTTTGTAAGTGCAACGTTCGTCCTGGGAGAAAATGATATTTGCCAGGTTTTTATCTGTCCTGTGAAGAGTTTGAGGCTGAATGTAAGAATAGAAGGATGTGTTTTATTACTTAGTAGTCTTTATGGGTATTGTGCCATAGCTTCGTATAGTACTCCTGAGATTTTAATATCTAATCGCTGATTTATTTTATGCTATATTTCTGCACCTGTTTATTCAAGGATGTCAGAACGTTTTACAAACAAAAACTGGGTATAAATCTTAAGCTTACAGGCTAGTTTTTATCTCCTCTGTGCAAAATGAAATTCAGATGCAGAAAATTCGGCATACATTCTCAAATTATTAAGCAACCTTTTTTTTTGGCTGAAAGAAAATCAAGAATAAATTTTTTCAGAGATAAATGACTTTGGATAGTGTCCAAAAATGTGAATGAGTACAGCGTTGGTGGTGAAAAAAACCAATTTTCTGGACATAAGTCAAATTGGGGAAAGAATTGGAGAAGAATAAGTAGGTATCACAGTGAGAAAGATAAGATACCAAATTGAAACTGAAAGTACAATTCCAATCACAAAAGTCTCTTCCTCTCTAGCCAGTTCTACTGCATGAGGCTAACCTGTAGTGCCATTAGTGGATTTTCTTCCATACAGTTTTTATATGAAGCAATTAAACTGTTTGGCTTTTTTTGTTTGTTTGTTTTTTAAATCAGGATGGTTCTTACAATGCATTACAGCTTCTTTCTTCCCTCAGCCGCTTGTTCCACTCTTGTGTTACGGCAAACCTCCCATTCTCATGTGGCAGCAGTGCTGCTTATGGGGCACTGCTGTGAAGAGGATCAGGGAACTGATTCAGCCAAAAAAAAAAAAAAAGTGGTCAAAAAATTGGGTTTGTGGTCCACTACACATCATCACCCTCTGCTGAACTGGCACTAATAAGTAAGTTACACAGGAGAAAACAGTTTCAGAGTGAGAGAGAAGCAGGAATTGCACAGACCAGTGCTTATCTTTGGGAAAATGCTGCTAGCTGCGATTTATGGAGGAATTGTGATTACAAAAGGTTGATGGTCAATATCTCTAGCCCAATTTTATTTTTTGTGCTCTCTTGTATTAATCAGTTCAAGCTTGAATAGAATTTAATGGAAATTTCCAGGGTGAGCTGATAACTTGGGGAAAAATTTCTCTCAAAATAGCTTGCAGTTCATATGAAGATTTCTTGCATTATCAAAATTATGTTTATAATGCCTTTGACTCTTTTACAACTGAATTTCCAATAAGTGCTGAATCTATAACAATCTGAAGTTGTCAGCATCCGAAATACCACTTTCCGAACAACATCCGAAGTGTCAGCTTCATCAGGCAATCATGGTGTATCTGGATCACAGCATCAGGTAAGAAATGAAAAATCACTAGTTTGTGACTAAATGTGACCAGATAGACAGACTGGGTGTCCTGGGCCTTCTACTAAATGCTCTGTTGTGACCCAGATCAGATGCAACTGATGAAACGAAGAAAATTCAAACAGGCAGCGAGTGAGTTCCTACAGAGATATGCAAATTGTGAGACTGTGATACGACACAGCTGGCCCTACAGCCTGCTCTGAAATTTTACAAGAAACGTCTGGTAAGGAATGATGGCCTACATCTGAATTCCTGAGCCAAAATAATCACTGTCTCCTGAAGGAATGAGATGTCAGTGTAAAGACAAAGGTAAATAATTCATGTTGACTGTTGTTATGAATAAGAGGAACAGCAGGAAATGCTGTTTCAAGTAATGACCCCAAGTCCTGCCATACCAGATGTTAGCAAAGGAAGCTGACAATTTTGTTAAGTAACACTTGACTAAAATTTACACTACAAAAAACTTTCTTCCCCAAACCTTCTTATTGCACCCCTGGAAAGGATTGTCAAGAACTGTAGGCCAGTGAGACTTTAATGTTGTCTTCAGGAGCACTGGAAGCTGCAAGAAGTTCCCTGATGGGTGTTTCATCCTGAAGCCAGGAAAAGGCTCTTGAAGGGCACTAATACCGGTTTGCTCCTCTTGTTCTGCTGTACTGAAGGTCACTGCTGGTCTCTGACATCTGGAAACCTTCTGTTGCCTGCTCTGACCTCACTTCCCACTAATGCAGAGAGGAGAAATGCTGACTTAGATCTCGTTTTGACTTTTCTGTAAGGTAGTCTGAAGTATAACAATAGATTTAAGAATCATAGAATCATAGAATAATATGGTTTGTAAGGGAGTTTTAAAGGTCATTTAGTCCAACATACCTACAATAAGCAGGGACATCTTTAACTAGATCAGGTTGCTCAGAGCCTCATCCAACCCAGCCTTGAATGTCTCCAGGGATGGGACTTCTGCAGCCTCTCTGGGCAACCTCTTCCAGTGTGTCATCACTGTGACAGGTGTTTCCTGCCCCCAGCTAAGCTGTTGTTAGGCAGATTTCAGGGAATCTGTGACCTGGGCTAGTCCGGACTTGTCTATGGAACCTGAGCTGGTCGGGACTTGGTTACATCCAGGAAGTTGGCCAGCAGCCAATGAGAAGCCGAGATGGCTATGATTGACCACAGTCATCATTGATTAGGCTTTAAAACAGGGTTCTTACAGTAGCCATGTTGGAGTTACCTCGTGGCGGTTGGCCTGATGAGGTTGTAAAGTTTCTGCCTTGGTCTAGGGGACCCCTAGCAAGGTCGACCAGGTAAGAATGGGAATCCCCACCTGGTTAAGGTACCCCTGGCAAGGTTGAAAAGGCGAGAACGGGAATCCCCGCCTTTTTAAGGTACCCTAGTGAGGACAATCAGACGAGAATGGGAACCCCCGTCTTGATTGAGGTGAATGTGTGATAATCCAGATTATCATTCTTTTGTCAAGGGCTACTGCTTGAGCTTGATCTTTTCCTCAACCGATACCGAACCTTTAAATTTGGAGGAGCTTATATTCTGTAAATAAATTTAATTTAACTACACATGTGAATTTATTTTTCAGATATGGGCGCGCTACTCATCTCCTTCTTTACAGTCACCCTCATCATAAACAACTTCTTCCTTATATCCAGTTAAAATCCTCTTTTAGTTTAAAACTTCTGCTTTATGTCCAGTCTAAATCTTCTTCTAGTTTAGAGCTCCTTCCTTATATCCAGACTAAATCCTCTTTTAGTTTGAAACTATTACCTATTGTCCTATCGCAATAAGCTATGCTAAAAAGATTGTCCCCATCTTTCCGTAAGCCCTCTTTAAGCATTGAAAGGTTGCAGTAAATTTTCCCCTGCGCTAATCTCACGCAATTGTTAATCAGAAGAATGAGATAATCTGAAGTGGACTCCCTTTCTATAATGTTAAAGAAGTTGTTCTAGTAATATCACAAAAAATGCCTATTAACACAAATTGTGCATTATCCATAAAGGCAGTAACTGTAAAAAACCTAATCTTGACAGTGCTGGGGAACTAAAAATTCATATTTCTGTCTGCATAGAGTAGAACAAAACTGATGTAGGAAGTGTTTTCTATGGACTCCTAGATTTGCGTATTATTTTTATTTCTGCTCAAAACAAAAAATGTCCAGGTTAATGACAGAGGCAGAGTTGCGTAGAGCATCACATTGTGTTTGCTGTGATTTTATGTGACAAGTTTGCAGGGTGGTCTTGAGGAAAAAATTTCATTTTCCAGTTCCTTAATTTCTTTCCTGAAGAACACCTTTTTTATTCCATTAACTCTGAAAGACGGAGGTAGAGAGATAATTTAACACTTTCATGAGGTACTTCGTAATCTAATAGTTTCACAGGTCTAGAAAACAGCTAGTCAGTTTATGAACTGTGTATATCTTATAACTCAAATTCAATTTTTTTTCATTTCATACATTTTAAGAAATGCTATTGAAAAAGAGTAAGCATGCTGCTAAACATCCCTGGCCCCCAAGTCCCTAGCAGGTGCTGCTACACTTTCATGGAAGTGATTTACATTAAAAATTTGTAATACCAGAGAAATTTTGCTGAAGTATTAGTATAGTAGAAGGCATCAAGTAGTTCCTGGGCTTTCACTGCGGTTTTTGGTAGCAGCCCTATAAAACCTTTGCTGAAAACGCATCATGCATTGTATGTCCAAAACAAAATCTGCAAACCTACCATCTTTGCCTTCATAATTTTTTTCCAGCATATACAAAAAAAAAACCCCACCCTGAAGACAAAGACCTCCCCTTGACTCTAGATAGAGTGAAAAGCAAGGAGAGAAGGATCATCCAGAGATTTGCTGATGCTCACTAAAACCAAAGAACCTAAAGTAAAGACATTGTGAAGCTGAAGAAGACAGGAAAATTGATTATGGACCTGGAAATATTGACATATGTGGAAAATAAACTAAATCTATGATGCCAGTCTACAGTTATTTGATGAAAGTGTGTAACAAAGGTGGAACTGTGTATCATTAATAACGTGGAGAAAGCACTAGGAGCCATGGGCTGAAATCAAGAAAAGAAAAATAAAATTGATTAACAGGAGAGAGTTCTTCTTAAAGGTACCTATTAGCCTGAGGACCTGTCTAAACTGCAGCAGTTGGAATTACACTGACTGTGATATTTGAAGACAGAAAACAATCCAGAGTCTGAAAGATTCATTTCATGATCTCCTGTAGAAGACCTTTCCTGCTAAATAGTAAGGCTGTAGGATTCATGAAATGATAACAAGTGGTGTAGTTTCAATTAGGAAGAAGTAGGTGGGACTGAAGCATACATTCAATATAAAGAAAACTTTGACTTGTAAATATTCAGGGCATGTCTTATAAAGGCTTTTTTTTTTAGCCTCTAGAATGCAGCAACAATATTATAAAAAATCCGTTATTTTTATTCACACTGGTTTTGGCTGGGATAGTGTTAATTGTTTTCATAGTATCTTGTATGACACTATATTCTGGATTTGTCCTGGAAACAGTGTTGGTAACACTGGGATATTTAGTTACTGCTGAGCAGAACTTACATAGGGTCAAAGCTGCTTCTGCTCCTCACCCCACTCCACCAGCGAGGAGGCTGGGGGTGCACAGAGAGCTGGGAGAGGACACAGCTGGGATAGCTGACCTAAACCAACCAAAAGGATGTCCTGTACCATGTATTGACATGATCAGCAATAAAAGCTGAGGGAAGAAGAAAGTGAGGAACATTCGAAGTTTGGATGTTTATCTTCCCAGATAAATTTTCTACAAAACGAGAAACACTTCTTTGTCTCTCATTCCTGTACAATGGATTTGACAAAACTCAACTTCCAGGTATGGCAATGGTAAAACATTATTAAAAATGTAATCAATACTCTAAGGTATTTCCAATATTATTTCCTGACAGATGCATCATACTTAGATTGCATGTCATTGTTATATATCACAACAGGAGAAAAAGAAATAGACTTTTAAAATCATAGTGATATTCTTTAAAAAAACCACACCAAACCAAAAAAAACCCCATGAAATTGTATTTAAACCAGTTCTTGGAGGGAATCAACTTTATTTTTATTTCTGACTTCAATGCATTTCTAAGAGAAAAAAATACATAGATTAATTCAATGATAATTTTATTTCAGAAGAATGATACTTTGTTTCTACTGCACCTTAGCATCCTTCAGATGTAGTTAAAACCTTAAGTGTGGAAAAAGCATGACTGAATAACACTATATGCAGTTACACTTACTGTACACTTGTAGTTGTCCCCTGAAGACATTTCTTCCACGAGAGTTTTCAGCCTTACATTCGTACATTCCTGCATCCTCTAGCTGCACATTAGGTATTTCAAGCACAGCTTGGGATTTTCTCAGGCGGGCTTTACTTGGATTATGACCATTAACTTTCCTCCATGAGATTGTTGGAACAGGGCTGAAATGTTTAGTAAAATTACTGTTAGCACTTTCCAACTATGAAGAATATAGGTTCTGTTATCTGGTAGTTTAAACACTTAATAATCTAAGTAGCAATAAAATATAACCACAATTAAGGTTCATATAATGCTTGATATAACTCACTTCCTGTAGGGAATCCTTAACAAGGGCTTTGCTACATGAAATGTGCCTCTTCATCCACCAGGGAGGCTAGGTTTTTATTGAGATCAAGTAAATCACTTGAAATACTCTCTCTACAGCTTCTTTAGCATTCTATGTTTCACTGTTGAATGTGTCCACTTGATAAGCAAGAGGAAATAACAATTTCAAAAGGTGGATGAATTAAAAAAATTCCAACAGGTTCCAATTTTCCTGCAACGAAATTGCAGTTCAAGAGATTGGTAAGTGATAGAGAGGATATCTTGGATAAATTAAGGTATTCAAGTTTTGGAGACTTTTTCTGTTGCAATATTCTGTGAGTTGCAAAACTGGTTGTGTAGGAAATATATATTAATTCATTACTGCTTCTGACTCGCAACCTGACATGACAGCTTGCAGGAGTGGAAGGATTTGCTATTCCACACATGTTTATGTGAAAACTGTAATCTATGTTCATACTGAGGAAAGAAATGGATTAGATAGTGTTTGCACTCATTCAACTCTATTTTTATCCCAAATACTTATTAGTTGTTGTGTACCTTTTTTTTTTTTTAGATACAGGCATAAATATATAAGGATTTAGAAAAGAAAAAAAGAAAAAAACTACAACTGTAGTTATAAAATATTTGATTGTGAGCAGAAAACTAGCCTGCTCTAGGTATTCCAGAAAATTCCCAGACATGTAGTTGAAGGTCAGAAGATTTCTCTGCTCTTATATCCTAAATGTCAGAAATCACTGAATTTCTTTCAGCCTACTAACATAATTACCTTTACAAAGCAAGCATACTGTCGCATATGGAATGATATCCTCTATTTATTTGAATATACCAGAAAGACACAATCATTGTTTCCTTTGTAAGGTTGCTGCACTGATTACTCAGCCTGACAAAAGATACTTTGAGTGTGTGTATTCATCTCTGAGTCATAGTCACTACAAAACCTCTCTATTCTTCAAAATGATCCTTTATCACTGTGGAAGAAATACATGTATGGTAATCAAATCACCTTTCTTTTTTCCTTAGTAAACAAAATAGACTGATCTTTATTTCCTCAGTGCTCCATTCATGTATGTCTTTTTGTTTTTGTAGATGGTTGTGGATCATATGATGGCTGTGGATTATACTAGCTCTTTTTTTTCTGTACTATATCACCATAGAAGCTTGATAGCTTGTTCATTATTAATCTTAATTTGTTTTCTTGCTGAATAATTTCAAATTTTTATGTCCTGTAGGCGTAGTTTGAGGACTCTTTTGTGTAGCTTGCATGGGCCTGTTTTATGAAGTTTTCTGCTTATTAGAAGTTATTTTTCATATTTTCAATTAAAAGATTAAAAAAAGAGTCCCCTTCTTATCTGACACAAACCCTTAAACTTGTTCAATTCTAAATATGAAGAATAAATACAATATTTTTGTTTCCAATACACTAATAAAACTCACTGTCTTTAGCCCTACCACTTACGATATACCTTTCAAATCCTTAGTCACATATTTTGCTATACTTTGATAGGTATTTGTATATATTAGGTAGTACAATAACACTAGTAGGTTGGGGGGTTTTTTTTCCAATTTATTAGCTTTCATTTTACTTCTAATCGCGCTTCACTTAGATATTCAAATTTATACTCTTTCTTGAGTTACTTTCTAGAGATTTTGCAAGTCTTTTGTACTGTATTCAGCTTTAAGTGTAAACTTCTTATATGCTTGTCTTCTTTCTATATGGATTATAAGTATGTCCTTATTGCTGGCTGCAAAACAGCCACCATGGCCAGGCAAGTGTTTGATTAATCAGTATTAATCATAACACAGGCCCACAGTTATATTTTATGCTGATACAATGCAGTACTACTCAGCAACTGCAGTTTTAGAAATAAAATAGGTAATCAGGTACACTTGGCACCATAAGGGTGCCATGCTTGTTTTTCACTATTATCTATTTACCTTTCAGCCCTATTTACAGTAAAATCAGTGACAAAAATGCTTTTGCTGTATTGGTGTGGAAGAAAATTGGTTCTGCTGGTAAGTGGAATTTTTTCCTGGTGTATATTTCTGACAAAGAATGAAGACATTATAAACTGTGAAAGTTATCCAATTTAGCTGCCATGAGATTATTCTGAAATGCATGTATTTAGAAAATTTCCTCTAAATTGGTTAGGGCTTGGTGCTGATAACATCAGGGTCACGGGTTCGATCCCCCTTCAGTCCCCATGTGTTGCCTGATCTAGTTGAGAGGTGTCCCTGCCCATGACAGGCAGGTTGGATTAAATGATCTCTAAGGTCCCTTCCAGCCTAGGCCATTCTATGACTTCTATGACTTAAATTGCATTTAACTATTCTTGTTTTGAAATTTGCTTTTGTGTCTGCTACAGAAAGCAAATGTGTACAACATGGGAAAGACAGGTGAAATTTGTTGAAATTTGTTGTTCTCTGGGTCATAAGGAACCATATTTTAAAAAACTAACTTTCTTCTTCATAAATATGAGTTAGTATAGTGGAGTTTTTCAAGGAGATAAAGTTACTTGAGCTGTGTAAATTTAATAATTTAAAAGGAAAATACTCCCTAACTGCAAATCACTGTTTGCAGACAACTATGAATTCTGTTTAATGAAGCTTATTTTCCTTGCATAACTTACAAGTGAGATATGAATTTTACATCTGAAATAAAAATATACCTATTTCCCCTCTGTGACTTGTGTGGGAATGAAATAAAATATATGAGTGAGGATGTGAAAGAATAAAATTGTCTAACTGTTCTAGAAAACTCATAAAATCCACCATAAAAGCTAACATATGCACATATTTTCATCTTTTCAAATGATCCACAGCTGTTTAAAAAATAGTGTGATAGCAGAAGTATCTCTCATATTAATATGAGTTTAATGTAATATGCATAATTGTTAAATCTTATAATCATTATAATACATTTTTATTTTGGTCTCAGCAGACATCTAAGAGAATACAGTTTCCATGTTTATTATAACCCTGCTCAAATTAATCTCCTACAAGTAACTTTGTTTGAATTTCAGTTGAATTCAGTGATAAGATTACTTCTCATTTTTGGAAATAATCTATTGAATGTGGCTGGTAAATATTAGCATCACTGAGGAAAAAATCCTACTTGATTCCAGAAATACCATCATTAGAATTCTCTTTCATCTGAGCTGAAATAAAAGTTCTAAGAGACCACTGGTGACTGTGATAGACATTACTGGGAGTTTGTTCACTTTGAATTTGAAGAAAGTGTGAGTTATATGTTTACATTCACATCTACAAGAGATTTTAAGAGTCAATTTTCAACAATATATTATTTGGGAAAAGCATTATTGAATTTGCTAAGAATTCTTCACAGGTTTCATTTGAAATAAAAATGATTTGAAAAACCTGTTGGAAGCAGTATAAATTTTTTTTTCCTATTTCATCTGAAAAAGAATTTCATTAGATTTATAAAGCATATGCTCGTTTCAGGAAAGGAGTGATCTGGAAACAAGAATAATATTTGAATTTTAAAATACCCTTTTTATAGATCTGAGCTTCTATTTTTTTTCAGCAATATTTTAAATCAGAATGCATAGGTTACTTTTTCTAGATTTCATTTGTACAAATTGATGTGCTCTTTTCAAATATTTTACCTTCTACTGTGATTTCAGTTCCTCTCCACAGTATTTCTCTTTACCATGCGTCACTATTCTGAACTGTCCCTTCAAATCCACAGGTTCCCATTATAATATATCTTGAAATCCTCTACATGCCTGTGCATCTGAGACCAGAAAAAATCCTTTCTCCTTATGCCCTCCAGCCTTGCAACTAGTTAAATATCCTTAAATTTTTACAGGATAATTATGTAGGACTAAAATGTCAAGGAGTATCATGAAATTCAACCATTCACATGGTTCTATCTTTAGAACATTCCATATAAATCTAATCTGGTCAGATGCAGAGATTTAGGAGACAAGATAATAATTTTTCCTTTTATTTGATTATTAAAAGACGGTTAGTACTCATGAAATATTGCAGCAGTGAGTACTGGCGATTTAAGAATAGGAATAGAATAGAAGGAAAGAGTGATGAGTTTGAAGCCTGTGTGCATGAACAAGTCCAGGTCTGCAAGTCATGTCCATACACACCTGTAACAGGTCTGACACGGGTACCAACTTCATATATTAATGTGGATGTTGTTTTGCACTACTGCTGGCTTGTTCTTTACGGCACAGAGCAAGGACAGTGTTCCTGCTTGGCTGCATGTTCAGTTCCACATCATTTTCTTCACATTTTAAGTCCTAACGTGTTAGAGCATCTCTAACACCTAGCACAGAGCTAAGGGTAATGGTTCATTATCTATAATGATTCATTATTCATAATGAATTATACTCCAGAGGCTTTTTTTCATTAATTTATCCAAGCCTAAATTGTGCACTCAGACTTGACCCTTAATTGTTCTATAGCTAAAGTCAGATAACATAATTGACACTTTAGGTGATTCCAAAGCTTTTTTCCAAATTCTTAAGTTCAAGTTAATCATGAACACAGGAACCACCTGACTAAGGTGTAATCAAGCAAGGGAACAGAAGATCACAATAGGCAAGCTATTGGTTTTGCCAATAGTAAGTAAGGAGGAAAAGCTATTCTGCAACTTTTTGTTTCTCCATTAAAAAATCAGATAAATATATTTACTCTTAATGAAGTCACAACAACACAGCTAGGAGATGAAAAATTTGGTAGAGAAGAGCCAAACATCTCTTATGAATTCAGTGTTGGCCACATTGCAAAATTCCATATTACATTTTTCTCATCATAGTATAGCAAATGCTGTATTGTGGGATGGAAGAGATGCTGAGTTACTACA